AAAATCAAAAAAGGAAAGAAGGCAAGAGATTAGAGTGAAAGTTTGCTAATGACAATCGCCATCAATGTCGCAGTCAACAACAACAAAAAAAACAACAACAATATGCCAGTGCTCCTGGTGTGATGCTGTGTGTTAATGTGCTGGACTGCAAAGTCTGTTTGAACCTCAAGGTCGCCAGTTCAAGCTCACCAGTTGCTCCTTGGAAACCCTATACAGGGTCACTATGGGTCAGAACTGACTCGACGGCACTTAACAACAACAACATATGCCAGTGCTGGTGGCTCTGTAGGATAAGCACTGGAGTGTTAACCACAAGGTTGGCAGTTCAAACCCACCAGAAAGACGAGAGGATGTTTGTTCCCACAAAGATTTACAGCTTTGGGGTTGCTATGAGTTGGAGCCGACTTGATGACACCTAGCAACAAAATCTGTCAGGTTACTAGAGAAAAGACATCATGTTTGGTAAAGTGGAGGGTCAGTGAAAACAAGAGACAGTCTTTATGAGATGAACTGACGCAGTGGCTGCAGTAATAGATTTACACACATGAAGATTGTTGAGGGTGTTGTTGTTATTAAGTGCCGTAGACTCGGTTCTGACCAATAGTGACCCTGTCTAGGGTCTACGAGGAGCATCTGGTGAGCTTGAACTGCCAACCTTGCAGTTCAAATGGATTTGCAGTCTGGCGCATTAACCCACAGCGTCACACAAGGACCAGGCAATGAATGTGTTGTTCTGTTATACATAAACCAACCCCATTGCCATCGAATTGATTCCCAACTCAGAGCGACTCCAAAGCTGTAGATCCTCACAGGATCAGCTAGTGGGCTTGACCTGACGTCTTTACAGTTAGCACGCTACTACCAGGGCTCCTGTTTACATAAGGCCACCAAGAATCAAAGCTGATTTAAGGAAGTAGCAACAGTGGTGGTTTGGTGCTAGAATTCTCACCTTCCATGAGTGAGACCTGGGTTTGAGACCCAGTCAGTGCACCTGATATGTATCTGTCAGGGGAGTGTATTTGCTGCTATGATGCTAAAACCATGGAGCTTCCACACTAGCTAGGAAGAAAGGTCTGGCAATCTACTGAAAATCAGTCAATGATAGATTACAACCAGTCACGACTGGGCAGCATTGCTTTAGGGGGACTCTCAACTGCTGCTAACAACATGTCAGGCACTGTTATGGTACCAATTTGAATATGACAGGAAGTACTTATAGTTTGATTTTCATCTGGTATGAATTAAAAAACTAGTATGTGTGTTTATGGGGAAGGGTTGTTGTTGTTAAGTGCTGTCGAGTAGTTTCCCACTCATAGCGACCCTGTCTAGGGCTTCCTAGGAGCAGCTGATGAGTTTGAGCCACCTTGCGGTCCGGTGCATACCTTGCAATGCCACACCCACAAAATACAGCCATCTTGGACAGATGGGTAGACATCTCTGAAACTCATTTGTCTCTCAACCATAAGGAGCAGGACTGAGTGGTTAAGGCTTTCTCTGCCCACCTGCCTTCTCAGTGGCACACGGTGGCCATGCCAACCCTGATATTGGTCCTTCTAAAAATTGCAGGGGCCCACCGCAGAATCCTACCAGGATATAGTTTTAATTTCCCAGGGTTGGCCATCTCTCCTTCTACACTGGGCCTGTAATTATGGGAGCTGCCACTAGGGGGCTGACGTTGCCGTTGTCCGACACGACACCTCTGGACCAAGTAGCTGAGAAGAGCAGGACTCCTTCCGTGTCTACCCGCCTGGCCTGTGCAGCCTGAACTCCCGAATCCCCATCACCCTTCACCAACCGAGGTGTCCGAGGGTGTGACAGCCTCCCTTCCCAGAACGGAGACACAGCGTGCGCCAGAAGCCGGGTCTCACCGCTCCTTCCCTGGCACCCCTCCCCCACCCCCAAACCTCATCGAATTGACTGATTCATTCCTGGTGACTTCTGCAGCCGCCGCTTCCGTGGTGGCTGCACCTTGAACTTGCATTAAGTTTTAATTAAAGTCGTTTCCCCGGCCTTGCCCTTGGCTAAATGCAGCTGTGGGCACAGGGCACATAGATATTTAATACTCTGCCTCTCCCCGCTGATGGCGCAGGGTGCCCAAGGGTGTACCCGAGCCGTGCCCCGCACGCAGCCATCCGCGCTAGCTTAAGTGTGCCCACAGGCCCCGAGCGGGAGGCCGGCAATAACTATTCATTGCCCTGGGTTAAGTGTGCCCAGGGGCACCCGTAAACTCAATGCAGTGATTAGCGATTACTCCCAGCGCTGGCGGCCGGAGGTCCTGCGGAATGTCCGCGGGCCCTAAATATAGCCTCCCCCAGCTTCGCCGGCGGGCGCGGGCTTAAAGGGCACGGGCAGCCTTGAGGCACTCGCCACCCAGCCGCCCCTGCCGTCTTTTAACACAACCGTTTCCCTCCTTCTGCAAGCCCAGCCTCTGGGGCTTCCACTGTTTCCCGCAGATCTCAGTGGGAACAGAGGAGATGAGGCGTTGGGGGTTGAAAGGGGACATGCTGAATCATCTCCTTCCCAACACTAAACCGCAGCATTCTGTCCTCTTCCCTCCTAAGCAAGGGCGCAAATCCAAAGACAAGGAAACCGTGGGTACTCAACCAGGGCTCCCTCTGCTGGAAGGGGAGGGGGGGGCACTCTACAGGAGAGTGGGCAGCAGAGTAGAGTTGGGCACTCAGGAGTCTGAACCATCTTGTGAGGTGGGTCCTTTCTGCTAGCGAAACAAGAGCCTCGCTCAGCCAGCCGTGGGGAGGACTTGGGGGTTGTGGAGGCGATCCGTTCCTCTCTGGCTTTAGTTTCCCCTCTTTGTACAGTGAGGCAGATAGTCCTGAGAGACTCTCTGCTGATCTTGTTAGCTTTCCTTATCTACACCTCTCTGCCCAGGACTGAAGCAAATGTGAAGGGGAGTCAGAGAAAGGGGAAGCAATTGTAAAAAGGGCTCAGCTTGTTGGAGGGCTCTGGGGGCCGCATTGGGAGTCCAGGGGAGGGTCCCCTTTGTGAGAAGGGTGCGGCTGTGAGTCATTGTGAGGCTCTTGTGTGGGAGAGTGACCACCTCTCCCAGTATGCTCCAAACTGTCTCTCCTGGTTTTGGAGTCCTTGGGTGGGGCATTAACATGGTTAATGTGCACAGCTGCCAACTGAAAAGGTGGGTTCCACCTAGAGTCACCTCTGATGAAATGCCTACTTCCAAAAATATAGCCATTGAAACCCTCTGAAGCACAGTTCTACTATAACATGGGGTCCCCATGAGTCAGAGTCAGCCCGACAGATGACAACTGGCTTTAGCATTGAAGGTCCCACATCCTGGAAACCCTCAGTCCCGGAAAAACCAGGACAGTTGGCACCATTTTGTTAGAGTACCCAGTTCATAGAAGCATTCTCTCAACCAATGCTTGTTAGACTTAAAACGGACAGAAAAAGGGCAAGGAAGAAATGAGTGGACAGAGAGAAAAGCAAAATGGAGGAGGGGCTTGGGGAAACAACCTCACTGGTAAGTGGGCCCTGACTTACACCCCCGCTCTTGACTGCACCAGCTGTGCCCAGGACCCCAGCTGCCCCCTTGGCCAGGCCCAGGGTGGCAGCTGAAGCAGCGACATTTTCCTGGGACTGTTGACACTCGAGTCTCAGAACATAAATGATTTTCTTGTCTTAATGAGCAAACAACCCGGCTGGCACCTCTTTCTCTCCAGCCTCCTGCTGGGGTAATTGCCAGCTCTTATGTGCTTAGGCAGAACTGTTTACTCACTTACCTTTCTTACCACTTGCCAGGGAGATGTGGCTTCTTCTTTGTTCTGCAGGTCTCAAGGCCGATGCCCCTGGGGAGCTCCAGTGGACAGGTAGGTGGGCAGGAGAACTCTTCAGAAGGTGGTGTCCCATTCTTGCTCAGAGATGGAGGTATGCATTCCTGCCCTCCTTTGGAGAGTGTTGGTGGACGGTGCCAACTCGACCAGACTGGTGTCTTGGCAGCAGTGGCACTTTTCTAGGCAGAGATCTGAGACCAGCTGAGAGGAACTCAGAGAATAGAGGCAGCTGAACTGGAGGTCTCAGAGGTCCTTCCCACACTGATTCTCTGTGCTGCATCTCTAGGGATGGGGAGCTCACTCCAGTGCAAGGCCCCTCATGCCAATACTGAACAGCTGTTTCTGGAATTCTTACTAGTCCTAGGCCTGATCTCCACAGACTTCCAGCAGGAGCCAGCCCCTTCTCTGTCTCACTTCCCTTTGGATCTTTGAAGCCAGTGAGCATGCCCTTCCTCAAATCGTCTCTCAAATTCCCCCAGCCAGGCTCCCAAGGATGGGGGCTGGGAACTCCTCTCTACTCTTCTCTCACCATCTAGACCCTATTGGCCAATGCTGTACTATTATTGCTGTTAAGTGCTGTTGGGTCCGTTCTGACTCATAGTGACCCTGTGTAGGGTTTCCAAAGAGTAGCTGGTGGGTTTGACCCACTGATCTTGTATTTAGAAGTCCAGTTTTACTGGTGGTGATGGTTATGTGCCGTGGAGTCAGTTCTGACTCATAGTGAGGACCCTGTACAGGGTTTCTGAGGCTGTAAATCTTTACGGAAGCAGAAAGATTCATCTTTCCCCCGTGGAACAGTTGGTAGTTCCGAACTGTTGACCTTGAGGTTAGCAGCCTGATTCGTAACCACTACACTACCAGTTTTACTAGAATGTAGCAAATGGAACTGAGGCTAGGATTCCAGGGGGCCTGGCTTGGGCCAGGTAAGGGTTGGTAGGCATTGCTGCTGGGATCGTACTTCATTCATTCTTTCTGCTATACTGTGCACCTTCTATGTGCCAAGCCCTCCTGAGAGAAGTCTGCTCCCCAAAAGTACAAAGCCTCCTGGTCCTGCCAATCCACAACCCTACCACCTTCCTGAGTGTCCTCTCTAGTGTCCCTGTGCTATACGGGCCCCCCCTTCTCCCCCAGTGACTAGGTCTCCCTGGTTTGATAGTGTGTTTCTGCTTCTCCAGACCCAGTGGCTGCTGGCCCTTCGGGGGGAGCTGGTAGCATCCCTGGAAGATGCCAGCCTGATAGGATTGTATGTGGACATCAACGCCACCACCATCACCATCCAAAGCCCAAGGCCAGAGCTGCTTCAAAGGCAGGTTAGTGGTGGACAGCAGGCCCTGCCAAGGTTGGGGCTCCTGGGACAGAGTGCCTCCCAGGCGTTGGTGGAAGCAGCAGCAAGACCCCTAAGAGCATTGTGCTGCACCTCTGGTGCCAATTCAAATGTCCACCTGTGAGGATGGACAGATTTAGGCAAGCAGCTTTGAAAATTGGGCCCCATTAGTGTAAAGTGCTCCGCTCGGCAGATGAGGGGCTTCTGCAATCATGTATTCAGCTCGTACTGATCATGGTGGCAGGAGCGTAATTACCGTCTCCTTAAATAGCCCAAAGTTGCCGTGTAAGAGAAGACGGCTCACATGACATTTGCTCCAAGCTCTCTTCCTGCTAAAAATATCCCAGCAAAATAATATTTCCTGGTTGCAGTGGAGCAACGGTCCCTGGCCTGGGCTCTGAAAACTCAGGGGGCTAGTCCTGGGATCCGTCTGAAGATGGGAAGCGGGGGAGCTCTGCAGGGGCAGTGTTAGGGGTTACAGGGGAACACTCCTGCCTCAGCAGGTGCTGAACACCTCCACAGAGCTCTTGTCACTCTGGCTGGTCAGCGGCTACTCAGCCTATTCTTTAGAAGCCACTTGTCCACCGGGTAAGACTGAGGAGCATCTTACTGTCCACTCTTGCTGGCTTCCTCACTCTCTCATCTAGTTCTACTCTCTCCTTTGGGTACCTTATGCTCATGGGTTCCACTCCACCTCTCCTCTCTGTAGGTCCAGTCTTGGCTGGGTCTCTCTGAAATACTTGGGACAAAGAAGAGAACGGTGGTGGAGTGGAGGGGTGGGATGTGGAGTATGGATGAAGGTAGAACCATCAACTAGGGTCTGTCAACCTGGGGTCTCTGAGCTCCTAGGAGATCTGAGATGGAATTCAGGGGATCAGAGAATGCTGGCAACTATCTACAAAGGTGGGAAAGGGTCTGCTGCCTTCATCAGATTCTCCTCAGCTCTGGGGTTCCACAGTGCCCTGGTCTCACCCATATATATTATAACTATTTTGTTCAGCCCGGAATGATGCCATTACCATGGGCCTTATATAATATAGAGAGACTGAGAACCTGGAAGACCACTTCCTACCTCCAGTGAATTTCAGTTCTAAAGAACTCTGTATGCAAAATTAGGTGGAGCAAAGACTTCATCCTGTGTGGGCAGATCAGAGATGACTAAGACTTCACATTTGTGTAGAATTTTATTATTAAATGAGTTTCACAATCATGGCCCTGGTGAGTTTAGGGCACTGGGGATGGCCTTGCCAAGCCCTGAGACATCTCTACTTCTGTTCATGATTTTGGATATCCCTGTATTTGGAGACAGATGCTTTCATTTAGCTGACTTAAAATACCCCTTGAGAGAGCTGACACAACTAAATTCTTGCTAAAGTGTAAACAACTGATATGAGCTGTATTTCTTAAAACTGCTTTAGTAATGGAAGGGGCACCAGGCAAGGTCACCGAGGCTGAAGACAGTCCTGGCAGAGACATTCAGCAGCTTTTCAGGGCCGCACCCCTCCTGGCATTGGCTTCCTTATCAGCCTTTGCAAAACAGCAGGATCACCTGGTATTTGGGAATGGCCTCATTCTTCTCTTCTTCATTGGTGATGTTAGGACCCCAAGGAAGCTTATGTGTCCTGGCATCTTATGTTGGCCACAGGGTGGTCCCTGGCTAAAGTCCTGTCTGCATGTACTTTTTGTGCCCTGTGTCCTTCCTCACTCCAGTGTCACCCCAGCCCGAGTTGGAGGTCTCAGTTCACATCCCTAAGCAGAGACTGGGTCTCGTCAAAAGAGGCTTCCACATCAAGGAAAGCTTGAACCTAAAATTCCTCCGAGTCCACCAGCTCAGCACCTTCATAGTCACTGAAAACTGGGATTTTGTGGTGGTCAGCTTCCCGGCAGAGGGGCTACTCCAGGTCCAGGTCAGTGCCCTGGTGGCATCTGCTGTCTTGTTCCTTCCTGAGGCCCCTTTTGTGTCACTGACATCATGTGAAGTTAGAAACCTGGACAGCAGATAGATCTGTGGGGCTGGCTTCTCTGAGGCTGGGCACCCTGCCACATTCAACTAATTCCTCACTGTCCTACAGCAATGCCAGGACGGCCAAGGAGCACGAGGAACACAAGCTTCCTATAGGGTAGATCTGAGCCTGGAATTTGCAGAGATGGCCACTCCAGTCCTGTGGACAGTGGAAAGCTTCTTTCAATGTGTGGGTAAGTGAGGTACCATGAGACCATGCCTGCTTATAATAGGCACACACCACATGAACTTCCATTTCCTTCGCCCTGTGGTAAAGCTTCCCTCCCTTCCTGAGCCAGATAGGTCCCACACCCAGCCAAGTAAATGCTGGTGTCAGACACACCGAGTGGAACTGGGGTGGCATGGGAGCTAAACGGGAACATGGTCTGCTGGGTGGGGGGAATCAACTCTCAAGCCAGCTGCAGGACCTGAGTGATTCACTTAACTTTGTTGAGCCTCAGTCATTTCCATCTGCTAAATGGGCATAACAGTATCTGTCTCATAACAATGCCCTGTTGTGAGGATGGGATGAGAATGGGCATAAAAGACTTAGAAAAGTATCTGGCAAAGATGAGTGATTTCCGTTTTGATCTACCTAGAGATCTCTGGGTGGTCCCCAGTTCTTCAGGTCACTTAATAGACAGATCAAGCTTCTTGGCAAAGAGTATTAAGTGATGCAATTTATTTCTCAACCCAAGAGGAACCGTCTTCTAAACGTGGTGTGTGTCAACTGTGCCAAGATGCTGGATTCGCGTCTTGAAAGAGGTTTGGGGGCTATGTCCCCGGTGAAAGCACAGCTACCAGACAACCTGGTCTTCGCACATGCAAAATCACCAGGAGCTAAACCCATTGAAATACAGCATAAGGAAATACACATAATTCACAAATGATGTTGATCACTTTCATCTTATAATTCCTAACTGTCCTCAATAGAAGACAGACGTGAAGGAGATTTAACTCAGATGTTAATAGCGCAAGAATGCCCCGTTACCAGGATATGATGTTTCGGTTTTAAAGATTAAAAGGGGGAACTGCCTACCACATCTAGCCCCAAATTCGGAATTAGAAACAAAGGAAAAGGCAGCATGGGGGGAGGGCGGTGAATTCTAACACTCTGCTAAAAATGGAAATGTTTCTTGAAAGTTTTTACACATTTTGGCGCTTTTTATTTTATATTTCCTGTAGCGATGACATTGATTTCAGAAAGGGAGGGCTAGAATTTTATCCAACAAATATTCATTAAGGGCTTTCTGTGTGAGGCCATGGAAGGAGTAGAGGCCACTAGATTTGATCCTTGTTCTCAAGCAGGGTCTAGTCTGCAAGGGGAGATAAGAAACATCCAGAGGGTTCAGATGGAAAGGGAGCAGACTTGGGGGAGATGCCAAAGAGCAGATGATCTTTGTCTGGGGAGAGAGTAAATAAAATACAAAAATAGCTCAGCAACTGCCGTAAAAACATTTTAGGAAGATTTGGGGGGGGCCTCTCTGGAAAGATTTACATGGGGAGAGAATGTTCTCGTCCTCATTTTATTAATTTAATATCAGCAGCCACAATGAATCTCTCCTCTCCCTGGTTCCCAGCGCACCTTCCCAGCACCTCCCCTGCAGCATCTAGAACTTTCCATTCTTAATTGGTGCAGAGTCTTGTTTCTCCCTAGTCTGGGAACTCCTTGAGATCAGAACTGTGCCTTGTTCAGCATTTGATTCTTCCCAGGCCTTATCATGCTGCCAAGCCCTTAATAAATTCTTGTTCGACTGAATATTCACAAGGAATTTTGAAACAATGTTTTAGGCAAAGAACATTTCTCTGAGTAAATATACAACTAGTAAATTGGAATAGTAATGTTCTAGGATTGCCTTAGCTCCTGGTGGCTACAGTTTTTCTTTCTTTCTTTCTTTCTTTCTTTCTTTCTTTCTTTCTTTCTTTCTTTCTTTCTTTCTTTCTTTCTCTCTCTCTTTCTTTCTCTCTCTCTCTCTCTTTCTTTCTTTTATAGGTTTCTCCTTTCTATGTCATCCCCTTTCCTCACCCTAAACAAAAAAATAATTAGCTAGAACGTTTAGGACAATTCTTCTTACTGAAGAGCATACATGGAGAAAACGGAATGTCTAGACTAGAGAAAAACCAAGGGGTGTCTAGCTATGGAGTCCTTGGGTAGTACAAATAGTTGGCACACTTGGCTGCTAATCAAAAGGTTAGAGATTGTAGTCTATTCAGAGGTGCCTCAGAATAAAGACCTGGTGATTTACTTTGGAAAAATCAGCCATTTGAAACCCTATTGGTGCAGTTCTATTCTGACGCACATGGGGATGTCATAAGTCAGAATTGACTTCACAGAAGCTAGTATTGGGTTAGCTAGAAAAACAAAAAAACACAAAAACCCACTGTCATCAAGTCAGTTCTGACCCATAGCGACCCTATAGGACAGAATAGAATTGCTCCAGAGGGTTTCTGAGACTGTAAATCTTTCTTCTTCTTCTTTTTTTTATTGAAGCATATAGGATGCTTTATTGTGAGTTATGTGATACTTTACATGGGAGAACATTAGCTTCACATTGATCCCATCGTATATCGTTTCCTTGCCATGGTTACAATCCCCCTCCATGCATCATCCATCAACCAAAGCCTGCCCCCCTGTTGTCAGCACACAGCCCCTCTCCCTCTCCAGGTCCAAAGTCTCCAGCCGCTCCATCTCTCCATGTCATCATCTCTGCCTCCATCTCTGGCATCACCGCTTCCCTGGGTAGGGTACAGTTCTACACTCTTCTCCCTTGATGGTCCCAGAGACCTCCACCTCTAGACTGTAAAGTTAATCCCTCCCCTCCTTTTGCTACAAAACATCTACCTTTACATTTCCAGCCCTCACAATTGGTCCTGATAACAATTATTCATCATTGTATCACAAGAGACCTATCCTCATCTCCTTTCCTCGGCCCTGCCTAGACAGATTGGATACTACTCAGTGGAGAGTCTACCTTGTTCCACGCCCTCTGGATCTAGGTTCCCTCTTGAAAGCTTGTAAACCAGTCACTTCTTGCCTCTGTAACCCCCCCCATTCTGGGTAGCCAATGTCCAAGTTGTCCATCCCTGTCCTCTCCTTGTGTGGAGGGGGTGGGAATGATCCTTGCTGTAAGGATTTGTTTCCTCTTTTGAGCTACTGCTTCCATAGGTGTAGGTCAAGTTCATCAAATTGTATCAGATTATTCTTTCTTCTTCTGTTTGAGCTCTGATCATCCAGCCATTGAAGCCAGGTCAAGTGGGTATTATCTGTCAGTGTGGGTGTTCTTATGCATTTGCCCTCTCTTCTTATCAGCTGGATGCTTCACTCTCTACTCTAGTCCTCCGTGACTAAGTCACTGACTCTGGGCCCAGGAGTCCTCAGGTCTTGCGACACTGCTGGCCAGCCAGGTCTCCAGCCGGGTTCACAGGAGTCCATTGAACATTGTAGGGCTTAGCTTGCAGCTCCACTGCTGCCCTTCTCTCACTTCCCCCTATCAGCAAGGAACGAGGAACGTGGTCACCAATCAGAGCGTGTATTCCCTTTGGGTCTCAGCCTTCGAAGGAGGTTTGCCCTGGGGGGACCTGACCACTTGCCTTGATGTCTCCTGGAGGAGCCACCTGTTTGTTCTTGTAGTAATCAGTCAATCTGCCTGTATTGTTTTGTATTTTTCCTGTCAGAGACTATAAATCTATATGGGAGCAGACAGCCTCATCTTTTCCTGCAGAGCAGGTAGTGCATTTGAACCACAAACCTTTTGGTCAGCAGCTCAACACTTAGCCCATGGCATCACCCACCAGGGGTCCTTGGGTTAGCTAGGTCATTAAATGCCATCAAGTTGGTTCTGACTCAGGGTTTCCAAAGAGCAGCTGGTGGATTTGAACCACCGACTTTGAGGTTATCAGTCCAGTGCTTATCCTAGAGTGCCACACCAATACTCCGGGTTACCTATGTTGCTGTTGTTGTTAAGTGCCATCCAGTCAGTTTCAACTCATAGTGAACAGCTGGTGACCTCTAGCTGTTTTCACATTTTAAAGCAGGGGTCACAGATGGAAATGCTTCTTGGTTCTAGAAGCTTCCAGACCCCTATAAAGAGAGCCGCTAGTTACTTCCTTCCAAACCAGTTGCCTTCAAGTTGACTCCGAGTCATGTGTTAGAGTAGAATTGTGCTCCAGAGGCTTTTCAGAAGTAGATTGCTAGGTCTTTCTTCCAACATGGGTAGATCCGAACCTCTAACCTTTGGGTTAGCATCAACCATTTGCAGCACCCAAGGACTCCAACCCTTCTTTCTCACTGCTGTCATGTTGAGTCCATTCTGATTCACCGTGACCCTCAAACACAGAGTAGAACCATGCCATAGGGTTTCTGAGGCTGTAAATCTTTACTGGAGTAGGTAGTCTCTCTCTCATCGTTGTCCTGCAGAGCGGCTGGTGGGTTTGAACCACCCACCTTATAGTTAGCAGCCTAATGCTTAACTCACTGCACCACAGGGCTTCTTTAGCTGATGCCAGTGTCTGCTTTTAAGGGAAACAGGCAGTGCAACCAAATCTGATTTTCTACAAGAAGCTTGGAACCTGGCTTGCTATACACAGAAAAGGACCCAATTAAAAAAAAAAAAAAAAAAAAAAAGTTAAAAACACCATGTAGTGGATGAACCTTGAGGACATTATGCTGAGTGAAATTAGTCACAAAAGGAGAAATACTGCATAAGACCATTATTATAAAAGCTTAAGACAAAATACCCACACTAAAAAGAAAACAAAAACAAAACACCATGTATTCCAAACCAAACGTGTTTAAGGGCTGCATTTGACCTGTGTGCCAGAATCTGCCAGCTCAAATCCAGGTGTTCCAATGGAGGTGGTTTTAGCCCCCAGGGGACATGTGGCCACATCAAGAGACCTTTTTGGATGTCCTGATTGGTGGGATGGTCCTGGCATTGGTGGTGGGTAGAGGCTAGTGATGTTACTATATATTCTATAATGCACAGGACACTTCTTCCACACACAGGAAGAATGATCTGATTTGGAATGTCAACCATGTGGAGACTGAATCTGACTTCAAGGGGTGCCAGGTGGTGAGCGCTGTCTAGGTCTGTGTGGTCCCCAGGGCTGGGCCAATGCATTTGGCCTCAAAATAAAAAGTGGCTAAAAGATGAACCCAGTTAGTGACATGAGATGAGAAAGAGACCGACCAGATACTCTTTGCAATAAACTTGAAGTTCTATGGCTCAAAAATATCTTTTGATGTCCACCTAGTCTCAAAAATGGACTCCAAGTCAAAGATCTGTGAAATTCAGCTCATGAAGATAGTTCTTGACCTTGAACTTGACCCATGAAGCCTGTGTGTCCTGTTTATATAAAGAGGGTACATGTGGTTTTTATAGAAGGCTGTGGGAGGGGTTTGCTTCCTCAAGAGGAGGGCTGATCCCTGGCTTCCTTTCTAGCAGGTTCTGGGACAGAGTTGCCTGCCTTAGCTTCCATACTGAGGACAACTTCCTCCCCCGAGTCCCCAGGACCAGAGACTCCTCCAGTAGGTATGCCGTCTGCTGCCTCTTCCCTGTTCTAAACTGGCCTTGGGGAAGAGCTTTCTCAGGCCCTGTGGCTCGGCCTTCCTCTGTACCCTCTGACTATGGCTTTCTCTAAAGTGACTGGTTCCCACTCTTTCAACTCTGTTTCTCCCAAAGAGAGCCAGTGCTGACCCTTGGCTATGACACTTCCTCCTCAAATTAAGAACATTCCCCAGAGGATCTGGAGACCTCTAAGAGATCCCCCCTGAGGGCATGCCCCCTCGTGCTCTACTCTCAGCACCTTGTGAGCAGTAAGAGGAGGCAGAGGGAGGGGAGACCCAGGCATTCCCCAGCACCCCCTAGGTGGGACCCCAAGCTCTCCCAAGGGTCTTTCTCTGGGCCAAGATCCTCAAGGCATATGCAGCTCACCTTCATTTATTTTCAATGTTCTGTCTTTCACCTAAGAAGGGGCTTGGACCACGCCTGCAGAGGGTCAGACCTATGGGAAGACGCTGGCCATCCACGGTCTCCAATTTCCCCAGAGTGATGCAGGGTTGGCGGGGCTCCCTGGACACTCTTTGTCTTCAGCTATGCCCTCCTCAGTCCCCACAACCCTGACCATGCATTTGTCTTCAGAGGTCACCCCTCCTCGACCATCTGACCTCTGGAGGTCTGGACATTTGATTATGTCTCCGGCCTCCGAACCACCTGTCACCCTAACTGAGAGTCTTGAAACTGTAAGCCCTAAACATGGCCCTGCCCAGTCGCCAGGGAATACCCTTGTGCTGGGAGGGTGGTCAAGCGGCAATGTGGCTGTAAAGGAGTCTGACCAGGCCAGGGAGGAATTCCAACCATCGGTGAGGCCCTTGATGACCAGCCCTTCTGAAGAAGCATTGGGTTCCCATCGTTCCCCCAGGAGGTACCAGGAAACAACCTCCATAGGGGAGACCACAGGGACACCCAGAAGAGACCTGACTCCATCCAGGAAGAACCCATCAGGACATAGCCATGCGGAGTCTCGCCACCCTGCTAGGGAAGGACACTCCATTTACCACCCCAACAGTGAGTTCACACAAAGTGTAGGGGCAACAGCCAGACCTCAGTACCCATTAGGGGCCTTTGTATTTGAGTCCCCTGGAGGGCGTGGGGTGGACCCAGCAGAACCCCTGTATCAGCTTCTTGCTGGGTGGCTGCCAGCAGTATGCAGCTGCCTGACAGCTCATCCACAGAACCCTCTGGCTTCTAAGAAGCTGGTTCACAGGAGGGTCAGGGAAGCCAATGGGAAGAGTGGGAGGCACACACAACCCAACCCTTTGCCTCTGCAAACACAGACCCTGTGGCCTCCATGGAGACAGCCTTTCCTAGTCTAATGGGGCTTGGACACCCTCCCCTGCTAGCCAATGGAGAGACCAATGGAGCCCACATTGGCAGCCAGCCCTCAACGTTAGTAGCCCCTGTATCTTACAGCATCATGAAGGGGTTTTCTGAGGGCTCCCTGCCTTCCTTGGTGGATAAGTTCTGGGAGCTTCCCAGGGGATGCCAAGTGCAGAGGCATGAGATGACCAGTGTCTGGGTCTCCCAGAACCATCTAGTTATGCTTTCCAGACAGCCCTGCTGTGTTTCCTTGCCTTTTTGCTCTCAGGCTGTTGGGGTTCCATTCCCTTCTCTCATCAGCTGTGCACTCATGGGCACATCACATAGCTCTTTGAGCCTCAGTTTCTCAATCAGTCAAATGGGGTTTTTGAGGATCGAGCAAGGCAATAGTCATAAAGCTTTGTGTGAAGGTCCAGCCAGCAAGTGCTCAGAGTTGCTGCCATCCTATGGTTGCTCTCGCTGCTGGCTGCTCCCAACACAAGCAGAAGTGACATTTGCTCATCCAGGAGAGCAGGAAGACCAGCCACCATAGTGAAGACATCTCCGGAGTGGGTGATAGGATTCCATGGGTGGTGCCCCACAGGCCTCGGTGGTGACCCCAGGTCTCTATAGGACCTCAAGGGAATGGGGAAGATTAGGGTATGATTGCTTCATTTTCATTACTAACCACACCCTTCCTCTAGCTCCCGTGGCAGTAGCTGGAGCTCTACTGACTTTGATCAACCCAGTGACCCCAAGTGACCCTGTAACCTCGGGTGATACCAGTACTCCCCAGCTCCCTGCCCGCAAGTTGCCTAGGGGCGCAGTGGCCTGAGCCAGAGAGTGGTCCTCGGAGCCTCCCTGGGAGAGCCGCCCCTCTAGGCCACCCCATCACTGGAAGTGGGATTTGAAACGCAGCCAAGGCGAGGGGGAGGCTGATGGCAACGCCCGGAATGCACACGAAATAAATAAATAATCAGGGTTGTCTTGGCTGATAAACGGTCTCTACCTCGAAGATGACTTCGCTCCCTCCAACTGCCCCCCTCCTTCCTCTTCTCCGGGCAGATCCATCCCAGGCAAAAGCTTAATAGCCCCATTTAAGGCTTTTCCTTTTCACCACGGAATTGAGCTCCTCCTGCCATTACGAGGTTTTCAGCTTCTCTCTGAAATCAAATTACTGACTCCATTTAATTTTTTAAAAGCTAGGATGATTTCCCTTCTTGAATCGAAGCCGTGACTCCAAGGCCAGCCGCCCCCCCCCCCCCGCCCACTCTGCCAGGCGTTCCTCTGCTGGCAGAGCTGCCCAGGATGGCAGCCCCCAGCCAGAGGGCAAGCCTGACACCTAGAGGGGAAGCGAGCAGCAGGAGACCCAGTCCACAGGACCTCAGCCTCCCCCAGACCTGGGTCAGTCACCTGTGGCTTTGTGGGTACAGTTTTAGAGGCTGGTTTGCACAGTGGTTTTCGCCCAACTTGACTATTGTGGGTTCATTGTCTGAGGGTTCTCCAGAATCCTAGCTGCCTTCCCACAGTGCATCACTCAACAAATGTGTATGGAGCGCCTCTTCTGTGCCATGTGTGTGCATGCATGCGTGTACCTGTGTGAAGAGCAGATGGAAATTGACGATAAACACCTGCACAAACAGATAATACCAGATAATGCCGAGTGCTCTGAAGAGAGCCAAACAAACAACTTGAATGGGGGCGGCTTGTGGGCTCCTTGGGGTGGGACAGTCTGGGGAGGCCTCTCCAAGGAGATATTGCTGACACTGCAAGGCGTTAGGATCTGGGGGAAGGGCATCCAGGCGGAAGGAAGACCTTGTGCAAAGGCCCTGAGGTGGGTTGCAGAGACAGAAAGGAGGCTGGTGAGGTAGGAGGGAGGGAGCAGGAAGAAGTAGAGGGTGGAGAGATGAGGCTGATTGGAGAAGAGACTTCAGAGGGACAGAATCAGCAGCAAGGGGACAAAGGAGCTGGGTGAGAGAGCAGGGTTGGTACAGGGCCAACCCACTCCACTGCAAGAAAAGGTGACTCCAAGAATCCTGGTGAGTGGCTTGTGCCAGCCCTGCATCCAGATGACATGGTGGAAGTGATTGCCAGGTGAGGCTTGAGATAAGACACACCTATCCCACAACACTGAGAAAGGCTTCCTGCTTCTCTGGCTGGCTGTCTCTCTACCTCTACCTGTCTCTGTTTCTTTCTGCCTCTCTCTTTTTATCCTGTTCCTCTGTCTCACGTGCCCCACCCCGCTGTCTGCCCTCCCCCACCCCCATAGTCTCTCTGTCTTACGATCTGTTTTGCTTTCTCTCTTTCTCTTTCCCCTCCTCTACAGAACTCCCAATCTTTGGGACATAGTAGACCAAGGGCAAGGAAGAGAGAGAAAGGAGAGACAGAGAGAGAGAAAAAGGGGAGAGAGAAGTTCTATAAACTGACCCTTTACTAAGTCCTTCCTGTGTTTAACCAACCTGCGCCCTTGGAGACAAGACAAAAGGAATCAAGTTAATGAAATCACTAGGCTTTACCTGGCGTAAATGGCTCTTCACCCCCAGGCGAGCAGCGATTTGCAAGGCGGAGAGGGTCTGGGCATTAACTGTTCTGGGCACTCTTCCCAGCTCAGCGCACCGCGCAGCTAGAACAAACCACTTCACTTCTCTGGCTCCAAACCGGGCCGGTGCTGTTTAATTAGAAAGCGCTTGTGCTCAGGTTTAATTAGAAAGTGCTCCTGTCTTTCCCCAAGATGTGACAACCTCGAATCTTGACCAGGACTCTGGGTCCTCCTGGGTGGCCCCTGTGCCCCTTGGGGCTCCCATGTGCACATGCACAAATGCTTACCTTGCCTTGGGAGTGTCTAGGTTCCCCCCTCCCTTGCAGAAACCACTGAGGCCTCCCAGTCATTTGTTTATGGCTGATGCGTCTGTGATCAGTCTGTACATCCAGGGGTAGGGGTGGGCAGCATCCTGCTGGGCAGGGTCTCAGACAATCTAGGGCCTTCAGATTCCCATCTTGTTTCCTCCCTCTGGCTTAGTGCATTGAGGAGGGGGTTTCAAAAAGTTTGTGGGAATATGGAATTGAAAGACAATAGAATTTCCCCACAGCGTTTTGAAGCCCCGTCCTGCTGTGCTTCTCAGAGCTACTGGAACAAGTCCAATTTCCCTCTTGGTTTTTCCTCCTCGACCACCAAACCCATTTTTATGCCCTGCCACACACATACTCCTTGTTGAGGGTCCCAAATTCCCAGATTCTAGATGCCTCCCACAGCAGTTTCTACCACCACCTTCACTGTGTGTCGCCATTGGATATTTGAACATTACGTAAAAGGGAATGATAATCATCAACTTAGGGATCCTCCGAAAGACTATGGAACCAGAGAGGAGGCAGCTGGGTGACAGGAGCTTTCTTCTGGGTGTGGGGAGACCAGCTCTGCTCACCCGCGCCCTGTGCCCTTGACAATCAATTCACTTCTCTGAGTGTCAATTTCAGCATCTGACTATTTGAAAACAGAAGCTGGTAGCTTGCTTACATCCAACTTGAAAAGGAAAGTGGTGAGTTAAAGGTCCCAAGCATGGCTTAGCTAGAACCTTCAGTTCAGCAGGTCCAGTCTCCCAGGTCAGCCCCACTCAGAACCACCTACTAATGTGTCTGGTCTCAGGCGGTTGGGCCTACCAGGGACATTAGGCCATGGCAGAAGGGCTGACACGGACAGATGCTTATCCTTGCTCTACAGGTGATCCCTCAGGAGCTCCTACCTCCTCTCCTGGCCTAAGCTCAACCTCTTAGATCTCAAAGTGGGGTCCCCAGGCCAGAAGCCTCAGCATCACCTGGGAGCTTGTTAGAAATGCCAACTCTGGGTCCGATTCCAGACCTGCAGATTCTCAGAAATTCAGGGATGGTGCCCAGCAATGTGTATTTTAACACACTGTCTGACTCAGACGCACAATCATGTTGAGAACTGCTGCCGGCCCACTCCCCAAGCCAGAAGTCCTCAGCTTCCATAGTAGACATTCATAATGCTTACCTGGACTTTCTACCTAGTGTCAGATTACCTAATAAGCAAGGTAAGTAGAGGTTTACTAATCTGCAGTGACAATTTTCACATGTTTTCACCACATCAAAGCTTCTGCTACTAGGTCTGGTTGACATTTGTCCCTCTCAATCCCACAGCATCTTCCTACAGAATCAAAACCTCTTTTCAAATGTCCAATCCTTGACAGGGACAGCGTACCCAGTAAGCAAAGTAAGCACAATGAAATCCATGTGAAATTACTCACTACAGATTGGTAAGTAAGCCTCTGCTTACCTTGCTTGTTGGATACTCCATCCCTGTTTCTACCTCCTGCTGCTCACTGCATCAGGCACTATCATTCTGAGGAAGCCTGATTGCTCTTCCCATTTGACAGATGAGGAAACTGAGGCGCAGTGCCCTACCCAAGGTCTCACAATTAATAGGTGGCAGAACCCCAGCCTTCTCATTCCAAAGCGAAGTTTCTGTCTCAAATACTTTGAATTTCCC